AGGACTGGAGTTGAGAAACACTGGTTTAGGGTAACCCAATTCAGCTCGTAAAATATTGTAACCTGACATAGGTCAGCACTGCTCTATACAGGAAGCCTGTTCCCTTAGTCCAGACAAACTGACATCCATAAAACAGAGAGACTCATTGCTAATCTGTCCAGTGCATCTCAAATTAAGGGCATTATCACTGAGGTAGGACAAGAACTTCTCCAAAATGCTTTTGTTGATCCCAAGTTCCCAGAAAATATGAAAATCAAATCATCTATATATCTATAGAATAATTTAATGTATGGGCAAAAGGCATTATTGTCTCCAAAAATGTGCACCCTTTCCCACCAACCCATGTATCAGTTGGTGAGAGAGAGACTAGAGACATCACATGTGATCCAAACATATTCCTCAGACCACTCAAATTCCTGAAAAATATTGAGAAGATGCTTGATATCGCAAGGATAACTGGGGTAGTTGAGCCACTAGGAGCTAAAGCTGGAAGTAAACTCACTGACCAATACACTCACAATAGGGATCCTATACCTGGAACTATTGGTCTACCCACAAGGGGGATTAACCCCTTATGGATTTTAGGGAGATGGTAATTTATGGGAATAATTGGGGCCTGGGGGACTAGCATCTCCCATTCCTGTCTCTTAAAGATGCCCAAATGTATCCCTTTATTCACAAAAGTCATACGAATAGTTTTCTATTTGATAGTAGGATCACTCTCCAGAGGTGTATAAGGACCTGACAAAGAACTGGAAGAACTTTAATCCTTCTTGGGCCTACTCTCCAAGCAAAGGAGGATTTATGGTCTGCAGTCAAAACTTGGCCTTCATGGGGTGCACTCTCCTTGCTGCCCTCACAAGACTGGGGGAGTCTAGAAGCACTGCAATAATAATAAACAGAGGACGCACTGGCCTAGTGCATTATTTAAAGGCTTTAATATATAAAAAGGTAAGTATTATACTTATCCTCTTCCTCAGAGCCTACCCAAAGGAAGAGGATAAGTCATAACGCGTCAGCCTGTGGATGTTCCATCGTTCTGTCACATCTTGATGTTTGAGTACTGTTTGTGCTGTACTCATGAGCTGAACTTGTACCTTTTATTTACTTTGTAAGTATAATACTTGCCTTTGAAGAATAATGCACTGGGCCAGTGCGCCCTCTGTTTGTTTATTATTATTGCAGTGTATAAGGACCTCCCTTTATCAGAATTTTTAATCACCAAAGTGGGGTCCTCACTTAAACATTTGAGATGTTCACTTATGCTTAGATTATCCTTCACTATAAAACCCATGTGCTGTGACATGTGAGGCTAATCGAGTGAGATCTAGTTAAACCTGTTTCTGGAATTTATCAATGTCTTCCCCTCTTGATTGGACAGGGAAGACGTCAGATTGTTTGAAAACCAGGAAGAAAGCATGCCTGGAGCAGTGCTACTTTTCTATCTTGTTGCTGGACTATTGTATTTGGTGCTGGCTCAGTAAGTGACTCACTTCACCCGTTTGTTTATCTATATACCTGTCATTGGTAATGTTTGACATTACACCCCTGTACGTCCAAGGATGAGAATATGTCTACATCTAACATTGACTTGATGGGGGAAAATGTTCCTGTGCTACCTCAGCCCTGGTTCACATATATGAGGTCGTTGCGCGGACACGAGAGCCCATTCACTTGAATGGACTTCCGTGTTCCGTGACACGCAGGGAAGAAGTCCCTGCACTTCTTCTGAAAACGCAGCCCGCACAGGAACTTCAGTTCCCAGTATGATTGCTTTTTCCAGTGTGGGCAGTGTGTCATTAGAACTAATGGCACCCTCCCGCGGGTCCACATTCCTCTGTGCGGGTGGTGCGGCTGCATGGATTTTCATGCGGATCCACCCACACATATGTGAACCAAGCCTTAATGATAATGCCTTTAATTTGAGATGCACTGGGCAGATTAGCAGTAAGTGCACCTGTTTTTTGGATGTCAGTTTGACTGGACGAGGGTAATGGGTCAGCATTGATCTATAAAGAAGCCCATGTCAGGTAAGAATATTTTACAAGCTGAATCCGGTCACCATAAACACACCATTAGAGGCATTCCCTCAGGGGTTGCTGAGTAATTTTTGGGTTCCTTGTCTTGCCTTACTCTGCTCTTGAAGTCCAAGCCCTGCTGATACCAGCTTAACGCTCTAGTCCAAGGAACCCTCTGGCTGCAAAACAGACTCACAGACAGTTTAGAGTGAAGTGATATCTTGGCCGTTTTGAGATGAAATGTAAAACAGAAACGTTTGTGCATAAAATAATAGCGATCTCTCACACAGTAATTTCATGTAAACGTCAAACACAGCAAAATCTCAATAATATGGACATCCTGCAATTCAGAATGTAGCCGGTAACCCCAGTCCTGAGATGTCTTTTCACAGTGGGCTTTCAGAGGCAGGTGACAGAGTTCAATTCTGAGGCTAAGAGCACTTAATTAAATAGGCCAACGTTCCTTTAAACTGCAGTATAAGATCTTCTGTGTGCTTGATGGGGCCCGAGTTGGTGCACTTTAAGAATTCAAATCTCTCTGAAATCAAAGGTAGAAGTTCCTTAATAAGGGGTGAATACAAAGGAAAGGAGATGCCCCTCTAAATGGTAGGTGGCTTGGACTGTACCCCTGCAACACACACAGGATAAAATGCATATTTAGGAGAGAGAGAGACAAATATGAGCAGCAGCCCTTTCTGTAAGGATTAACTCCTTTTTAGGAACCCAGTCGAAAACTGCAGCAAAGCAGGAGCTCTTTGGTGAATGTGGGATTGACTGCAGTGAACACAATGATGCAGCTTAGCTTGTGGAGTGCATGGCATGGCTGTGGGCTCCTTTTGATTGGATTATGCTGAAGGTGTAGTAACCAGTGGGCTGAGTGAACTAGGCCTCAAGATGTGTAACTTGTGAATGGTGTCAGTTAAACTAGGCAGACAGTAGTAGACTTGAGCAATGTCATTGGCAACTTGAATGGCTTGAGAATGGAACTCTCTCACCCGATCGGTGGCATCGGTCAGGTAGTTGACAGTCATTTCACAGATGGGGCCCCCAGTGTTCCTGCTGTTCCTCCTTAAGAGATCACTCTGGACAGAAGCACTCTGGAGCACCGGCCTGCAGGACAGCTCACTAGACTCCTCAGCGGTGTCAGAGATCAGCAACTCTTCTCCCTTCACTTTCTCTGCGGCCTGGCCCGGTCCTCTGGCATTCTCCTTCTCCTCCACACCTGTTCTCCATCTCCCACTCTCTGTCCAGGCTTCTGTATTTATTTGCTTCTGCCCACATGCCAGCTCATCTGGGAAATGGACTCTGTTAGCCTGCTATCAAAGAGCAAAGTCCTGCAGTGAGCCTACGAATCCCGCAAAGCTTTGCGACATGGTCTGTACAATTGGGTTGCAGGACACTGTCATCTTGTGTCCATTTAACATCCTGTAAGCAGTATCATGGCAGGGTGTTACACACACATTAAAGGTGGATGGGAGAATGCTCCCCATTGTGCTTTTGTATTCTGAGAGAGTCCCTCATTCAAAATTCTAGAAACAAAGCAATGTGTATCGAACGACAAAAACGTATTTCTTGGTCCCAAAGACAACACCTATCATCTGGAACAAAATTGCAACTTCATAAAAAAACTCTACATGTCACGCTCCCAAGCGAGCGCGACATGTAGAGTTTTTTTAAGTTTTATATACACAGTATGAGAATGTGATATTGTCAGCGATCCTTTTTCAACTCTTATTAGTGGCTCGCAAGTAATCAACAAAAATTGTAACTTCATCACAAGATATAACACCCACTATAGTATAATAAAAACAGTGCAATTCCACTGGAACATTCTCCTAAAGGACCCACATTTAAAGGTAACATTACCAAATAACCCAAGATGGACGTTTAGGCATGCAACGGTCTTAAAAATCATTCTTGCACCAAGCAGAATTAAACCAAAGCAGGGAACACAAAGCGCTGCTCCCATGACTCAATAAAAATTGAGCACACACAATAACATCCATCAATACAGGATAATCAAATCCAATTAAATCTCTCATAACTTGCAACACTGTCTTTACGGTATAGCTGCTGGAGTGCTCATGTGGCTTACAGTATGTGGGCAGGACCACTCAAACATTAAGAGACAGAGTGGGCCAACATATATGAAATATCACAAAGCGCTTTATGAAGCACGGTATGTCAAAACATTATGCTCTGGTACAACACAAAACAGCCAACCAGCTACTCTCTCAGCTACTCACAACTTTTGTTGGACATCCCAGATGGATCATGTGGGTCATTTGGTTCTCTTTTCATCTTTTGGGTGCTTCAGCTAACCAGTTCCAAGCTGTGTCTTAGGTTTCATTTGCCCCCTTCCCTGTGGGACATACAGAACATCTGAATGTCTTTTGTTCTTCTGGCATCAAGCATCCATTCCCAATGCAAGACTGCCACCAATTCTTCAGTTCTCACATTTTTGCTCTACCAAATAGAGGTTGTGGCCTCATCTGATGCCAGCTTTAGGCATAAGGAATTTCATGTGGCTTTAACCTGCACTTTTCTGTTGTTTCTTGAGTCTGTTCGTGTTATTACTGGTGGCTTTTCTTCAGTCAGTCCTGTTTTCCTCAAAGGATGATAAGGAATATAGTATTTTTGTACTTGCCATAAAATCCTCTTCTATGAGTCCATTAAGGAATACAGGTCCACTCCCGCTGACCTACAGTTTTTCTGTTTTTTTTATTTGCCAATGTCTAATTTTCCAAGTAGGTGATAGTGTGACACAAAGGTGAAAAACATCCTGTGCTCCACAATGTACTTCCATACAAAGATCTTATGGTGAGTACCAAAAATAGTGTTTTAAAATATTCAGCATATAACATTATAATATACAATGTTTGTGGAATAATTCTAATCTTCTCCCTTTACTCAAGATGAATGATTTAGAATACCTACAACTTTATTGAAACACTTCACAACTTTACTCTTGTACAAAATCCAATGAATGTAAATAATCAGACCTCAGTAAATGAATTCATCCTGCTTGGGCTCACCAACCTGAAGGAGGTTGAAGTTACCCTTTTTGGGATATTTGCAATATTTTACATTATGACTGTTTTGGGGAACTTGTCAATCATGGTGGTAACACGAATGGATAAAAGTCTCCACACACCCATGTATTTCTTTCTGTGGAATTTGTCTTTTATTGACTTATGTTTTTCCTCTGTTGCGGTTCCCAAGATGCTTGCTGATTTTTTATCTCTCAAGAAGGTCATTACTTTTGCTGGCTGTATTTGTCAGATACATTTCTTCCATTTTCTTGGAAGCTCAGAAGTCATGCTTCTTACTATAATGTCCCTTGACCGATATGTGGCAATTGGTCATCCACTACGGTACCTTAAAATCATGAACGCTAATGTTTGTATGAGTATGGCTATAACATGCTGGGTGACAGGCTTTTTCCATGCATTGATACACACTGTTCTGACAGCAAAGCTTCCGTTTTGTGGACCAAATACAGTTAACCATTTCTTCTGTGATGTTAAACCAGTGTTAAAGTTGGCTTGTACAGACACATCTCTTAATCTGAAGCTTCTCATCAGGGTTACCGGGTCACTGGCAACGACATCCTTCATCTTAACATTTCTTTCTTACCTATGCATCAGTAAATTTCTTTTGAGGATAAAGACATTACAGGGAAGAAAGAATGCATTGTCTACTTGCAGTGCCCACCTCACTATTGTGTTCCTTCTTTATGGCACAGCGGTTTTTACTTACTTACGTACTTCAGCAGAACATGAATTAGATCAAGACAGAGTAATAGCAATTCTGTTTACTGTAGTGACACCAGCCCTGAACCCAGTTATTTATACCTTACGCAATAAAGATATGAGGAAAGCTCTGATGAAGATGATCAATAGATGGACATTGCATGGCCTAAGCTAAAAACATTATGAGTGGGTCACTATTGCTTAGACAAATACTGTACATCTAAAAATTGGCATATGTTCCTTACACCTTGCAATACACATGCTGTGTGTGCGAATGTACAATGTATGGTCCATATATATTTGGACACAGGCACAATTTTCATACTTTTGGCTCTGTATGCCACCAGAATAAATTAAATTGAAACAATCCAAATTAATCTGAAGTGTAGACTTTCAGCTTTAATTCAAGGGGTTGAACATAAATATCAGTACAAATTTTAGGAACTACATCTTTTTTTATACACAGTCCCTCCATTTTCAGGGGCTCAAATGTAATTGGACAAATGAATATAATCATAAATAAAATGTTCATTTTTAATATTTTGTTGAGAATTCTTTACTGACAATGACTGCCTGAAGTCTGAAACCCATGGACATTACCAAAGACTGGATTTCCTCCTTTTTGATGCTTTGCCCGGCTCTAAATGCAGCTGTCTTTGGTTGTTCTTTGTTTGTGGGTCTTTCTGCTTTTAGTTTTGCCTTCAGCAAGTGAAATGAATGCTCAATTGGGTTGAGATCAGGTGGTTGACTCGGGCCATTGCAGAATATTCCACTTCTTTTCCTTCAAAAGCTCCTGGGTTGCTTTTGCAGTGTGCTTGGATCATTGTCCATCTGTACTGTGAAGTGCCGCTCAATCAACTTTGCTGCATTTGGCTGAATCTGGGCTGATATATGTCTAAACACTGCAGAATTTATCCGGCTGCTTCTGTCATAAATCATCAATAAACACCAATGACTCAGTGCCACTGAAAGCCATGCATGCCCATGCCATCACACTGCCTCCACCATGTTTTACAGATGACACTGTGTGCTTTGGATCATGAGCTGTTCCAAGCCTTTTCCACACTTTTTCTTCTTGTCATTCTGGTACAGATTAATCTTTATTTCAATCGTCCAAAGAATGCTTTTCCAGAACTGGTCTGGCTTTTTTAGATTTTTTTGGCAAAGTCTAATCTGGCTTTTCTAATCTTTAGGCTTATGAATGGTTTGAACCTTGTGGTGAACCCTCTGTATTTGCTCTTGTGAAGTCTTCTCTTGATTGTAGACTGTGACAATGATACTCCCACCTCCTGGAGAGTGTCCTTCACTTGTCTGGATGTTGTGAATGGGTTTTTCTTTACCATAGAGAGGATCCTGCGCTCATCATTGTTGTCTTCTGTGAACGTCTATGCTTTTTTATGTTGCTGAGCTCACCAGTGCATTCTTCTTTCCTCAGAGTGTACCAAACTGTTGATTTGGCCACTCCTAATGTTGCTGCTTTCTCTCTGATGGATTTGTTTCATTTTCGAAGCCTTGCAATGACCTGTTTCACTTGCATGGACAACTTCTTTGAACGCATGATGCAGGTTCACAGCAATAGATTCAAAATGCAAATACCACACTTAGAATCAACTCCAGACCTTTTACCTGCTTAATTGATGAAGAAATAACAAAGGAGTAGCCCACACCTGGCCATGAAACAGCTTTCAATTCAATTGTCCAATTACTTTTTGTCCCTTGAAAAAGGGGGGGTGGCTACTCTTATGAGCTTTAATTCCTAAACCCTTCCTCCAATTTGGATGTACATGCTCTCAAAGTAAACCTGAGAGTGTGCACTTTCCATCCATATCAAATATATAACTATAGTGTGAATATGTTTTGGTAAATACCTGAAAAAAAACTAAAATTGTGCCTGTGTCCATATATATATATATATATATATATATATATATATATATATATACCTCACTGTATATACATTATATTGCAAAAGTATTGGGACACCGCTCCAAATCATTGGATTCAGGTGTTCCAATCACCTCCATGGCCACAGATGCATAAAATCAAGCACCTAGGCATGCGGACTGCTTCTAAAAACATTTGTGAAAAAATAGGCTGCTCTCAGGAGCTCAGTGAAGTCAATTTTTTAAATTGTGACAGCTAGTGGGGAGCAGAAGATACCCTGCTAGCTGACACAGCGGGGATCATGGTGAAGAAGGGTCCGGTCTATTAGTTGCATGTTACATCCCGAATATGGGTGTCACATGTTACAAAAGGGGAGCTTATCCTTGATTACTGATCTGGTACAAAAATTGCTCACTCCATTAGCTGCCCAGGACACAGTGACAGTCAAAGAGCATTTACCCCTTGCATCAGGCTTACCAGCAAATGCAGAGGGCCCTGAAGAGGAAGAGGGAGAAGAGATTGGGTGTGACACTTATTTGGATTTTTTTTTACCAAAGACATGTAAGTAGAAAACATTTTGGCCTACATTTATGACAGAATTTGAGTTTATTGGATATAATTTTTTTTAACAGTAGAAAATATTGTTTTTTTAATTAAAAAATGTAGGTCTTTTTTCATTTATTTCGCAAAAAAGTAAAACAAAAAAAAAACAATTGTGATCAAATACCACCAAAAGAAAACTCTATTTGTCTGAAAAAAGGATATAAATTTCATTTGAGTACAGCGTTGCATGATTGCGTAATTGCCACTTAAAGTTGCACAGTGCCAAATAGCAAAAAATGACCTGGTCAGGAAGGGTGTAGTTTATTGTATTTCTTAAAATGTATAAATATGTATTGCCTACTCCACCAACAAAACGTTTGCAATGTACTCCCCAACTGGACCTTCCTAGGCCTGAAATGATATCTATTCAGAAAATGTACTGGAGTGTTTGAACTACAAATTGCATTGTTATGTGTAACAAAATCTTATTGTGCGAAGAATAAATATCCAGGACATATTTTGATCTTTGCATACCTGAGATAGAGAATGTTCGTCATCTTTTCTGTGCCTAAAGTATTGGCTGCACTGTTTTGAGTTTTTTTTTTGTGCAAAATTTTTTTTTTATTAAAATAAAAAAAATAAATCATTAGCATTTCTTGGTTTAAAAATGATCACAGTCACTGTGAACTAAGGGCTTTGCAGTGTCTCCTGCAACAAATCTGTACCCTCACTGAGAATCATAACGGCCCCTTAGACTTCGATGCAATCAAGCTGTGTGTAAGCAGCACCACAAGGAAAACTAAGAGAAGCTTCAGGCATAAAAAAGTTCTCTTTTATTTTTATGATAAGCCTAAAACCCTACTTATATGCTATAAAGATCCTTGTCCTTCCACTTTGTGTTAGGAGGTGAAAACGCTCTTGTCCTGTTTCCCAGCTGTTCTCCTGCATTGACCCCCAGTCACATGTGGTTCCAGTGGTACAATGGTACAGACGATCATTGTACAGGCATGTTCTGCTGTTTATAACATCATGAAACCCACCCTGAGCAATGATGTGAAGCCACAGATATAGTGATTGCACATAGACATGAAGTGGGGTATTGTAAGTGGGAACTTGAGGCCACCATCATCCATCAGAGCAATACAGACAAGAAAAATGTTTCCTCTTGGAAGTGAGACTTTAAAGGGCAGCACTGATCAATGAGCCAAAATACCAAAAACAGAACGTTTTTAAAATCACAAATGATTTATTGATACATAATTATTAAAAAAGTAATTCTATTGACAGATCAGTGGTCATAATTACATAAGATTGCATATACAGTACTTCATATAGTCAATATGATAGTAATAAGTCCAACGTGTTTAGAGATTGAGAATTCTTTTCTTCAGGGATGCAACAAATGACACATTAACATTAACACCTTCATTCTGGATTGAGTAGGCATATTGAAATTTGAACAATATTTAAGTACATCATTCTGACCCGTAGATTCAAACTTGTTTGATATGACCACATAAATATTTAAAAATCAAAGGTAATACAAAGGTGCTAAAAGCTGATGTTATCTGGGTACACCACTGTCCGCAACTACCACTGAGGTCACCATAAACAGTCAGGAATATGAACCTCATCCATGCTTTTGGAATTTAATAATATCTCCTACCTGGCTAAATTTTATTTACTATATATATACAGTCATGGCCGAAATTGTTGGCACCCTTGATATTTCTCCAGGAAATCAAGTATTTCACACAAAAAAGGTATTGCATTAACACATGTTTTGCTATACACATGTTTATTCCCTTTGTATGTATTGGAACAAATATAAAACAGAGGCAGAAAAGCAAATATGACATAATGTCACACAAAACCCCAAAAATGGGCTGGACAAAAGTATTGGCACCCTTAACTTAATATTTGGTTGCACACCCTTTGGAAAACATAACTGAAATCAGTCGCTTCCTATAACCATCAATAAGCTTCTGACACCTCTCACCCGGAATTTTGGACCACTCTTCCTTTGCAAACAGCTCCAGGTCTCTCTTATTGGAAGGACACCTTTTCCCAACAGCAATTTTAAGATCTCTCCACAGGTGTTCAATGGGATTTAGATCTGGGCTCATTGCTGGCCACTTCAGAACTCTCCAGCGCTTCTTTGCCATCCATTTCTGAGTGCTTTTTGACGTATGTTTGGGGTCATTGTCCTGCTGGAAGACCCAGGATCTTGGACGCAAACCCAGCTTTCTGACACTGGGCCCTACAGTGCGACCCAAAAAAATCCTTTGGTAATCCTCAGATTTCATGATGCCTTGCACACAGTCAAGGCACCCAGTGCCAGAGGCAGCAAAACAACCCCAAAACATCATTGAACCTCCACCATATTTTACCGTAGGTACTGTGTTTTGTTCTTTGTAGGCCTCATTCCGTTTTCGGTAAACAGTAGAATGATGTGCTTTACCGAAAAGCTCTATCTTGGTCTCATCTGTCCACAAGACGTTTTCCCAGAAGGCTTTTGGCTTACTCAAGTACATTTTGGCAAACTGTAGTCTTGCTTTTTTATGTCTCTGTGTCAGCAGTGGGGTCCTCCTGGGTCTCCTGCCATAGCGTTTCATTTCATTTAAATGTCGACGGATAGTTCGCGCTGACACTGATGCTCCCTGAGCCTGCAGGACAGCTTGAATGTCTTTGGAACATGTTTGGGGCTGCTTATCCACCATCCGGACTATTCTGCGTTGCAATCTTTCA